CACCAGCGTGTTTGTCAGCTGGGTATGCGCAATTCAACAGGAATTCGGATCAGATCAATGCAGATTTTTCCAGAGTCGCTCGTTTCTCTACTGCTGGTCAAGACTCTGGATACGGCGTTGCCCGGAACTTTGTAGGAGTTCGTGTGAGTAGCAGGGGTTGCGGACATTAACAGCCATGCGGGCGGTACAGGCATTCCCGGGCCACTAACGACGAATGCTGTTAATTCAAATTAAACAGCTTTTGAACTTGTTTGCATTTCGTTGGGAGAAAATGCATAATTTAGTTTTATCAGCTTATACGACAAGTATCCTTCATGGTTACTCCAAGTTAAGAGTGGTCAAGGGGAAGTATTGTCGTGATTTTCGGAAATACACCAATATCAAACTTTGATTCTTCTTGAATTCAAAAGCCACGGGCATCGTGACCATTTTTTATCAAACGTTTTATTTACAACGCTTAGAGATTCGTACAAACCTCACTGATGCAATCGAAGGCGCGAGTACCAGCCGCTGGTCAGGAAAGGAGCCCGCGCTCCTTTCCGAATGAACGAAGACGGGACCCGATCGAGAAAGCGACAGAGAGAGTCATTGTCTAAAATATCGAACGCGTGATTAACTTATTTATTTATATATTTATTATTTATAAACAAGAAAATTCATAAAACATGGAACGTCACAAGTTACAACGTTGGGAGATAAAGGAAAATTATTGAAGAATACATGTATCAGTCTTCTATTCGCCAGGTTGTTTTTCTTCTTCCGGTATATAGCCCAGCTCGTTTTCGTAGGAGAGGCTGCTAATTAGACAGCGTACAGACAGCGAGCAAGAACACATCTTGAAAACAATTCAGGTACAGCAAATCAGACTAAACTTTAAAAGCTTGCCATGTTTGCCGTAACGGGAATTCCAAACAAGACAACAGTTTCAGAACTTCGTCCAAGAAGGAAATTATCAGAAACTACAGCTCCTCTTTGGGTTTGACTGGAGAATCTGTGGGTAAGAAAAACAGAAGATACTTTTACAAATGTTGCTACTGATGTAAAGATACCTTTAGGGCTCTGTTCTATCTTGTGATCACCGCAGACCATACGTAGAGTTTTATGAGCCAGCCTCCTTCGCGGACGTTTTTTTAAGGTTTATGGGGGAAGAATACTGGCTCTCTGAAACAGGACTCTAGCAGTGTCTCAAGAACGTTTCCCCTACCTGGTTCACACTAGCGACACAACGACATAAACGACATGATGACATAACGAGATAATCACTTATGCCGACAAAGTGAGCATCGACATCAAGACATAGGGAAAAGATCAGTGTTTTCATTATGTCGTTATGCTGCTTTTATTTCATTATGTCAGGATGTTTACAATGCAAAAATAGGATACAACGTCCTTCTACTGTCGTTAAATTTGTGTCGCTATGTCTCCAGTGTGAACTAAGCTTAAAAATAATAACAAAAATATTAAAAAAATATCGCACCATGCCCTTCTGTCCCTTCAAGAAAGAAAAGAGTCAGAAAACGATATGTTTTACGCAAACAGTCAAACCTGGTGGCTGCCAAAAACTTTCCATGACCTTTCCCCGATACAAAGACCATTTCGCACACCAAATAAATACGACATCATTTTCCTTCAAATTGTCAATTTTCCCTGGCTCAAAATAAAAGCCTCTGGTTTTTCCCGGAACCTTGAAGAATTTGTTTTCCTTGACCATTTCGCGACCTAAAACAACTCTAAAAAGTTGAACTAGTCACCTGGTTTAGCTGGTTCAGATTTTGACGAAGCCGCGTGCGTGGATACCCTTTCTTGTAGACTTCTCACTTCATTATCTAGGTCCGTCCACTCTTTCACTATCCTCACAGCGCTTTGTAGCTTAGGTTCTTTTGTCAAGGGATTGTTACACTAGTAGGAATAAAAGAAAAAAATTCGTATAGAGATTAGTCGCGATATTTTGAGTTATTTTGGCCGCGTACAAAACTACCTTTTCAGGCGGTGAAGGAAACTTCAAAATAGTAGTTTACTAAGATAGGAAAAAACACCAAAGGGACAATAACAAACCACAAAGGAAAAAGGATGGATACAGATGGAAAAGATTAACATGGATTACAAACGACGAACTTGAAAATTTCGGGCAAAACTTTCCAAGATGCGAAAACCATGACGTAGTTCCCATGAACAAATCGCATTCTTGCAGCAGTGTCTGGTCAAAACTTCGTATCGCCTTTATTATTTTAGCCTTCATAACTTATACGATTCATTGTCATATCTACCACATTAACAGTCAAACGTTTAAAACTTTTTACCGGGGTTCTAGTTTTTAGTTTAGTTCTGCTGCCCCTCTACAACTTCAAAGCATCTCTTCTTTTTTTTCTTTCACAGTGAAACTTGGTAATCAGCACTGCGAATATCGCAGTAATGTTGGAAACGAAGGATCAATCTCAGCTTATGAGCCAACGTTCACTGAACATCTGTTCCGGGTTTTACAGCTGGTGTACAGTTTTTAAAAACTTGGATAAAAATTTATTAAACGGATTACTATACCAGATCAATAGCTTTAGCTCCGCTCTTTGATTCATCGTCACACCACGTTTCACACCACAGCCACTCCTGAGGGAGGGACCTGATAGGCACTTGATGGATCATGTTGTTGGGCAAGTCCTGAACAACACAACCAACAAATAAGCAAACAAACAAACAAACAAACACAAGATCAAGCGTTTTACTTTAGAAATACAGAAAACATTTGGATGACTTTGTCAAAAGAAAGTAAACTTAGTGAGAAATAAGTAAGAGTTTAAGACTCATCCTTTCAGTTCGGATCCTGCCGACTGTGACTGCCTGGCTCTCGTTCTCCAAGAAATGATCAACTCGCCGAGTAAACGATAATTTGTAACGCAGTTAAATTAAGCAGTCAAATTAAGCGTGGTCCATTTTTGTTTTGCAATTTTATTTACATTTTAAACTATTTGAAACTAAAATACTTTTAATGAGATTAATACGTTGCATCGTACCTGATCGAGGTTAGAGAGACTGTTCGGATCCTGACTCAAGCCCTGTAAGACAAATCAACAATTCATAATGAACATTTTGTAAGGATCAACACAACAACTGGCTTGATGACTCATTTTTGAAGACAAGCATTATTTCCATGCATGGCCGGCATTTGATTAAGAGGGGTTTCTTAGAAATATAACGCATTTCTTGATGTTAATGTTTGTGTGGTCGTGACTATTGGACACATTTTGCGATAGATTAATTATAAAAAACCAGAAACTCAACGGGTAATTTTGTGAACAGCCTCAGGACAAAGAACATTTTATTACAGAACTATTGGACTTTGGAACAATTTAGACCCCTTTTTAAAATCAAGCTGTTCAGTTCNTTAAATTTGATTAATTTTGATTGTGTAGTTATTAGTAACTTAGTAATTTAAGTAATTGTTCCTGAAAAGCCCCATTGGGGAGGTAACAATAAAGTATATATATATATATATGAATATTAAACTAATGGTAAGATCAGTGGAACTCCGTTAATCCGCGGTCACCAACGGGCCACAAAAAACTGGCCGTATTAAAGGGGTTCTTAAAATATAAGAAAAGCACTGAATGAGCTTTCGTTCAGGTCAGAATAAAGTGGCCGTTGTCGTATTAACGGGATGGCCTCCACTCTAGTCACTTTGCGGTCGGCAAAAAGTCACTTTTTAGCTGTTTACAGCTGTTTCGAGAAAGAATGTCCTTCCAAAGCGTAAGATCTCACGTGACAACGTCGGTAGGTATTATGGTTAATGGTGGTTCACGATTGCTTGATTGAAGTTCAAGGTGTTTCAGGGTAATATAGGGGAACAGGACAAACATATGTATTCAGGCTTTCTCCTTTCTTCTTGCTGAAATTGTAATTTCAGAAACAGTTTTTATATTATTTATAATTATTTATTCTTACTTATTCCTAGTGTACCCAATTAAGTTTAATTCGTATTCTTAACTGTACATTTTAAATCTCAATACATTGTAACGTAGTAGTGTCCCCAATTAGCTTCTGTAAGCTAAATACCTACCCTGACACTTAAATAAAGTTATTATTATTATATTATTAAACACCGTGAACCTCAATCAAGCAACGCCAAACTGTCACTACTCGTAATACCAATCGTCATTGATGGGTACGCTTTTACAATTTTGTGCGACAAACTTTGTTGAAACAGCTGTATACATGTATACGGCACGTGTCGTGTTTCCCTCCAGGTCCGTGGATAACTGTTTACTGACCTGATACTGTCCTCTCAACCTGTCGCCCGCAGCAAGTCGCCTGAATCGATCTAAATCCACCACGTAAATTGCACTTCAAAAAACAAGAGATTTAAAATGGACGAAAATTATAAATTTTTTAATGAAATGATGCTGAATTGGTAGTGCCACACGCACACGAAGCTTAACTCGATAGTGGTGAGAAGTCGGAGTGTCTTAGAAAAATGGATAAAAGCATTCGGAACCAAAAGGGATTACCGGCCTTGAATGAAGTAAAAAAAGTTCCTTTGAAACAAAGCACAGACAACCGTTGTCACTTATTTTCCTTTTCTCACTTGTGGTGAAAGAAAGGCATCTCGAATAGTTCATCTTACAAAAACCCGATCAATACGTAACCATGTCGAAAAGCCTTGGGAAAATATCCGTTCATTTTTTTCTTAAATTGTAATTCACGTGGTCACTATGGTATTATTTTACTTACCTGATGTGATATGGCCGTCCACCCAAGTGACTTCTCCAGTAACCAACATTCCAAAATCTGCAAGGAAAGGATAAATGAGATGACAGCTCTCAAAAGTGTTCCAAATGTATTTTACATACAAGTCTCAATCTCCATTCTGTGAGCTGCATATATTTCTGGATGTTTTGTCACCTGTTGGGTGTTGCTGCCTAGCTACAGGGGGTTATTTTGTAATTTGTGCATCAATGAAAAAAATATCTATTACACGTAGGCTTTGACTCTTCAAAGCCTTGCTCATGATTATGCTCAACATCGCTTGATTTTNACGGGTCAATAGCCCATTCGGCTTCGCCTCATGGGCTATTGTTAAATAGTACTTTGACCGTATTTGTAAAGGAAATTATTATTCACCCATCAACTTTGGCAATTAATTAATAATGACTAATTACTTAATCATCAAACCTTAATTGTAGGCGAGAGGTAGTTCTTAAGAAACCAAAACTTCACAGGGTTTTTAGTGTTCTTCATGACAGTCAACATCATAATCCTGAAAAGAAAAGAATACCAATACTAAAACAATTAGATTATTCGCTCTCGAATTCTATCGCGCGATAGTTGACTCGGGCTGCATTGCTTTAGTATAATTCTACCAGTCGTTCAAGACTTAATCTAGATCCTTTTCACAGACACTTCCACAAAAACGCCAAGAAGCGGCCTTCGTTTTGTTAACAAGGGCACACTGCTACGCTATCACAGATTATAAAATAACTGAGAAACTACGCACGCTCTGATTGGTCAATAGAGTTGCTAGACCTATGTTCTATTGTACCGGTAAACCACGATTCCCGATCTATGGCAGCTCTGCGCGGGAACTAGAGAACTCGGAACTCTAGCGATAACAAATGTAATGATCAGTTTTGCCTTTCACTGGCCGAGATATCAATGACACGAATATCTTTTCATTCAACATATACATGGAAATTTGCGAGGAAAAACAGGACCAGAAGTTGGTCGTCATATAGATCTTTTTATTTTTTTTCCACGGCAAAACGTTTACGCCGACTTAAAACACTTATTTCGGTGCCGGTCTGTGGAGGACGAAGTCAGTTGGGTTTGACTGATGAATTTGGGTTGTCAAAAAAGCAGGGAAAAGATTTCTTTCTATCAGAAATTTTGAGTTTGAACTCAATGCATGCATGCATTACACGATAAATGAATATGATTTCCATGAGCTTAGCCTTCAGCATATGTAAGCTAATTCTGCCGGAATGAATTTCGGAAGCAGCGTTTCTGTTACTAACCTGTATTCCGTTCGCAAAACTTTGGAAACTTATTGTTAAACACTGCGTTGAATCGCTTCGCCAATTCAAACACATGAAGTTTGGACTNTTGTCAAGAAAACATGTTTTCTAACGTCATTTTCATAACGGTGTCCTTTACAAAATTAAATTCAATTTGATCAAGAGAGCCTCTTACGCGGACCTTCTTATAGCTGGTCACGCACTCCTGGAAGATTGCGTGACGAGCCCAGGGAGCGTCTGCGCAATAACCAATGATCAAAGTAAAATCCCACCAGTTCAAACATGTGTACCAGACCAGGAAGAGATCAAACTCTCTTCAAGTGGAATAGGACTCTACTAAAGAATGAGGCTTAACACAAAACACTCGCTAGACCCAGTCTCACCTTTACTTTCATAAGTTTTCCAATAAAGCTGTCGACAACGACTGTAAAATGAGTGTCACCTTCCTTTACGCTTCCGGAAACACTAAAGGAATGAAAAAATAATACAACATCACTCGAAATAAAAACTACACGAGGTTGCAATAAATTGCTTATGGCAAAACACACAAGCAATGAAGTGCTTTCTTGCAAATGATCAGGAATAAAGCGCGCTTTCGTTTGACCGCCAACTATCATCAACTATCGTTAACTTTGAGCATGTTCAAATTCTTCATGACAGTAGATGATAGTTTTCCTGTTTGATCACGTGTGTGATAGTTCATGATAGTATGATAGATATCATGGACCATCACACATCGTTCAACCACGGCTCAATTTGTAAAAATAGCTTGAGACCTACTCGTCCAACAATAACTTATTATGAAACGTTTACGTTATATGACATAGCTAACAAATTACTAGAGGCCGAGACACACTAGGCGACAAGTCGCTGCAACGAGTCGGCTTGTGTGACATGGTGAAGTTATGTGAAAATCTTTGTCGCTGCGACAGAATTTTGTCGTTGCGATCAGTCGCACGAATTCAAACTGGTTTGAATTAGAGCCACTAATCGCAGTGACAAAATGACTGAAAGCAGCGTTGTCGCAGCGTGTGTACCCTTCAGTGACGCGTCGCTGCGACAAAATATAAATTAACCAGTGAGAGAGCGTCATTTATTTCCCATGATCCCTCAGTAACCTGTTCAAAATGGCGGCTGAACATGTGGATGGGCAAAAATCTGAGCGATCCGAGGATTCTTCGCCTTCAGCATGGAACGTATCCGCAACTTAAGTGGTAATCCAGTTCTACAAAGACAATAGACTCTTATGGGATAAATCCTCCATAGCAGGTTCTTTAAAAGAGGGTAATAAACCCCTCATTCTTCTCTTCTTGACACTCACTGTCGGGTTCAGTATCTTCTTTCAACGTGTTCATATTTTTCGTTATCTAACAGCATCGTTAACAGAACTAAAAGATTCTTTTTCTTTGACCTTCGCTATAGGTCCGCGATGTTGAATTAGAACTTCGTATTCCCCCTCATCCGAAATCACGGTGGCGCTTGGCAGGAACAAGCGTCTTGCCGCAGCGACTTGGTTTAGAAGCAGTACACACGGAGCGACTTATCGCAGAGACCTGTCGCAGCGACTTGTTGCCTAGTGTGTCTCGGCCTTAATGTGAAAAGCGTATACGCAGCAGCTGGACACAAGTTTTTTTCCAGTTGTGACACAACTTAAGCAAGAGCAGAGTTCATTTTCCCGTGATGTCGGTACAACACTATAGCATTCGAGTTGTGAAGTGACTGGTGGTTATACGGAGAGGTTACATTTGGTTACACAACACAGCTTAATTAACAGTGTTACCTTTCAATCTCGTAAATTTCAGATGACCTGCCTTCTCTTACCCTAAGTGACCAAGCACCTGGATAAGCTTTGAGCTGGAAATATCCCTACGCGTCATACAAAACAAAAAATAACATTCACTTGAACTTCTTCAAGACGCTAGGGTGCGCTATTTTATCTCTGATGGAATCGTAAAGATTATTTTTAATGCTCCCCGAGCCTTGCGCTTTTTTCATTCCCGGGTTTTGCTCGCCAAGTCATTCAAGATGGCGACTCCGTGGATTGAAATTCACAGGTAGAGGGTGCAACGCAGAAAACAAAATTGGAGCGACTGCTCACAGAAATTTAAATCATGAATGAAATACCAGAAAGCCAAAAGCGGAATAGACTCCAACATTGACGCTCGATCGTTGAAAGAGAGCGCGTTAAGGGCATAAAAACGTCTACGTAGGAGGGGCTAAAAGCGGAACGGAATCCCGAAAACTAGGCAAGAATAAAATGCACTGCATTAGTTTAAGGTAATTTGTATGAACAGATTGTTTACAATGTCAAGAAGTTCTGGCAGCTGAAAATCGCTTTGTCAGTAATCTAACCTTTCATTGCATTATTTTAGTCTAGAGCTCGTTGTAAACGAGAATGAGAATAAGAAATAAACAATAGTAAAAAAAAAAAAAAAGAAAAAAAAAACAGAAAGAAATTTCCTGTGGTAGACAAAATGTAGAGGGAAACTGAATATCCATTTCATTAACTTTTCTTATCAATAATACTAAATGACAGTATTAAAAATACTATTCCTTGATATGTACTAATGACGCTGACGTCGAGATACCCTTCTCAAGCAGGTAGTTTGTTCTCCCTTCCTCCCTTCTAAGAAATGTTTGTCATCGAGGCCTAAGTGGGACATCAGGTGTTTGTGGGCCCGGAGGGAGGAGAGGGAATGCATTTCTTCCTGTATATTACGGAATGTAACCGCCGCTGGAGGTGGGAGAACGGGACTTTAAACAGTACCAGTAACAGATAAGGAAGTCCGCTTAATCTTACCAAATTCGCCATAACGATTGTATCAAACATGCCAGGATTCCTTGGTGTACCAAGAGTGAACTGAAGTCCTCTTGGTGGCTGTCTGGTATGAAAGTCCGAGCAATGGCCTGTCGGTTAAAGAAAAACATATATATTGTAGACAATTGCGGGAGTTTAAGTCTGAATTTGAGCCAAGTGGCCCATCAAGCTGGCGGCCCACGGTGACTCCTGCTTAAAGGAGCTCTGTCCCTATATATCTTTCAGACTTCAATAAAGAGTTAGACATTGGCTGTGGTCACATCAAGGCTACTAAATAAAGTTAAGATAGAGATAACTTCGGTTAACTACGCGGTAGTGTGACCTGTCCTTTATATATTTATACTCTAACTACGGTCAGGAAATTAACGCTTCGGTGTTCAAAAAACAATACGAACTAACGAAAGTTATAACCAACCAGGATGCGTTGGTTAAGCCAAGGAAGCAACAACAAGAAAACAAATTGCTCGAGGAATTCTACGTTTCATCTGGGCAGTTCCTACATTTCAAACATTCGATGCCAAATCACACGTTCTGAAGACTGTCAAAATAGTAATATCATATGATGTTTCTAACATCGCTGTCGTTGGTCATTAGTATAACTTCAAAGTGGTTTCGCTCAATTGTCGAGTATTACTGCCCAAGAAAACAACCAAAATCAAATACCAAATAAAAACACATAAATGTAGAGATCATGTTAGAAAAAGAGCAGGGTTCGTTTTACCTTCGATAAAGATATGTTCCAACTCAAATTTTCCCATGACTTGATTTTCCACCTGCGAAGAAAAGTAAACATCAGTCGTACCTGAATATAAGAACACTTTTTTCACAAGCTTCTTCACATGTCAAATGTATAAAACCTAGTAAAAGCAGAAACAAATCAAAACAAACGTATATTTGGAGTACTTTTTCAACAAAATTAAGTGATAACCAGACGCTACGCGAGTAATGTTCGTACACCATTCAAAGTCAGCTAAATATGCGAAGCCATGAGCCCCTTTTCATAAAAAGCTGGCAATTTAAAATCATTGTTTACATTTAAATTAGCCTCACTAAACTCGTGAGGCTCTTGAAAAAAAAACAAAAAACAACAACAACAACAACAACAACAACAAAAAGCAAACAGAAGAAAAAAAAGCTTCCAGTTGCCTTGATAGCTCAATTGTTAGAACACAGAGGTTATGGGTTCGAATCCCGCTTGAGCTCGATTATTTTTCAAGGCATTAATTTCAGAACTGCTTAAGTTGTGTTCATATATGTCTATAGATTTTTCTCCGCAGTTCTAATTTAAGATCTCTTATACATTCACTTACATTTTCAAGTGTGCGCCGGAAACAATAATCTACAAAAGGATAATTACACTAGAAAGGAACTGAGATCTAATAAGGATCGCAATCAAAGATTCATTTGGTTTATCTACAATTGAAACGTAAAATGGAATTCACGATCTCAAAACCCAGGTTTCCATGGGCTACAAGACACGCTGGCTAGAAAAGCACTATTAAAGCAACTATTGAGAAAAAATAGGAAATATATTCCGTGTTTCTAGAGTTCAGAAACACGAGTGAAAGTTGGCAGAACGAGAAAAACCGCGTGGCAGACAAGCCGCAGGCGAGTGGTTTGCTCGTGTTGCGAAAAATATTTGAAGAATAATTAACACAATAGCCTTCATTTGGCGCGAAAATATGCTCGGATATTGTCCTTAGACATTATCTGTTCCTCAAAGCTCACAGTTTTCCTCGCGTTTCGCTCTCGGAAAACTGTTTGCCTCTCGGAACAGATAATGTTTGCGAACAAACATCCGAGAATATTTCCGCGCCAAATGGAAGCTATTGTTTATGAAGATAACCATCCTTACCTCCTGTAGTTTGATGTTGTCCAAGTCATGCGGTGAGTAGACAGCCTCTACCATCCACCCCAGGGGTGTGTCCATATTCATGGTAAAAAGCACGGATTGCGGCATGTCAGAGAACAAGGCCAGCGGCCCCTCAGCCATAGATCCAGCGTCATCAAATGTGACTTCAGGCTCCAGGACATATCGATAGAAGCGATTCAGAGGCAACTCAGAGAGCTTCTCACGAGATTTCATTGCCAGTTTGATGTTCACGTTTGTTACTTCTTGAAAGACCTAAAAGAAACAAGAATTCTCTATATATCGTACCATTCACGAAAAGATGACACAAAAGACATGGCTGATAAAATTTTTAGTAACTGATATTTTTCTGTTGCTTGTTATTGTTTTCAAATATTTTTTTTTGTTGTTTTTCTGTTTCACTTCCTCTAGTACGTTTTAGGCTTCGTCATGAGAAAATGAGGGCCTCGTCCATGTTACGCCGGAGAAATTCAAAAATGACAAATGTTTTCCGTCCACACTAAACGTAAAACATAACCCGTCATTTTTGATTTGTGTTTGAGGGAAACTCGGGTTGGGAAATCAAATGATTATCGTTTTCGAAAAGCTCCGTGTGAACGGGACCTTATTGTAAGAAAGTAAAAGATACCGGTGCAAAACAAACAGTCAACGTAGTCAATTAGCTTTTATCGCAGCTAGTTTACTTGCGGTGTCTCTCCTTCGTTGTAAAAACCGAACGCACTGTCAGTTACGTGAAATACAAATAATCACTCGCTTTATCATTTGTTTCGTCTTATTTTTTCTTCTGCGTTCCTAAATACATAACAGACAATTCAAACTTACCGCTAGTATTGGAGCAATTTTCTGGGCAGCTAAATACAAACAAGAACAAGAAAATTAGACGACTGCCGAAAAAACGTGAGGATACAACGTATATTCTGAGTAGCACATAAGTAAAAGCCGCCCATTAAGCACGACTAACACAACGAAACTAGATGGAGTTTTAAGTAATATATCAAACACGAGAGACAGTGTTTCATCGGGATATCCAAACACCGAGAAAAGAGTTGAAAATACGACGCGCAGCGGAGTAATCTTGACGAGATTCGAGGTGTTTGGATAGCCGATGAAACAATGTCTCGAGTGTTTGATATATCTTCTCAATCGAAACAAAAACTAAGGAGTAAACGGAAAAGTAAAATCGTCAAAATCTATGCTAATTAAGACCGGGTATCCAAACCTCCTTCACGGTCGTGATTTTCTTTGTTTTAACTTGATGAATTATTAATGAGTTTGAGAAAGTTAAGTAGTCACTTTTGACATCTCTGCATTAAACTTAACTTCTATTTTTAATAACATTCGCTCAAAGGGAGCTTAAGAAACCACGACGGTGACGCCGAGGACAACGTCGATTAAAAAATGATTTTATATTTTACCTAAGAATCTCGCGATACCCTAAAGTCATTTACTTTGTTTATCACTGTAAAAGCTATCACGAAACTGATTCTGGAACACAGTGATAAATTCGAAATACAAATTTAAAAAATTAGCCGTCGTCGTTCACGTTGTCCAGACAACGCAGAATTTGGTCATTTCACGTTGTTGTTTTGCAGAGGACGGCAAAGAAATGTACCAAGAATTATAACGCACGTGCACAGCCATTGTTCTCTTCATTAAACCTTTTGTTTAGCGACGTTGCCGTTACCGTTGCCGTCGTGGTTTTCATAAGCTCCCTATTAACATCACGAGTGCATTGGAGTAACAGTGCACTGGATTAACCGTTTTATGGCGCACGATTGTAGACTTGTTACGTTGTGTTTTGTCTGCTTGAGCCAAGTGTTGCTTTACACAACAGCAGTGAGTCACTGTGCATTCACAAGCAGTGTTGGTTGATAAAAACCAAAACAAAACAAACAAATGAATTATAGGGGTACCTTGAGACAGCGGATCCAGTACAGCCACAACATCAAAACTGGGACCATCAACGTTTGGTTTAATGTTCATGACACTGAGAAATGGGACAGAAGGTGAAACAGTCTTGTGTGAAATTCTGTCTTGACATGTCAGGGAACCAGTGCATAATGAGTTAAAACTCTGAACGAAAGTGGGGCATGTGAGATTGACGAAATGGACCACTTTATAATCTTAAAGTTTACTTAATTAGCAGTGTCCGACAAGTAGTAGGCCCGAAAGCCCGGGACAAGTAGAAAAAAAATTTCCGGGCAAGTGTTTCATTTCTCGAAGAAGCCCGCCAGACCGTCGCATTTGGCAGGCGATTTATTTTGCGCAATAAATTGACGTCTATTTAACGTTTAACTTTGCCCCATAGAGTGCGACTTTGCAGACCCTTCTGAACAGATAACTCACAGATGACTAAAACTGCTTTAACAATACACGTATTTACTTTTTTCAGAGGATGTGATATTATTGTGAACAAGACGTTCTTGAAAAACGCAAATTTCAAGCTATAGAACGATGACTCGAGACAAAAGGCAAAAAACGCCACTATAACTCAAGAGAGCTTCATAACATAAGAGAGCATCACGAACAAATATAAAAACGTCAAGAGGTAACAAATATACAAGGACATCTTGGATTTCTTCTCTCACTTGCTTACCTGTGTTCACTACCTTTAAACACAATTTCCTGGCGAGATCTCTTCTCTCGGCTTATCAATGCAGAGGATACCTTCATGATAACGTCACTTCTAAATTCGCTGAAAAAAAGAAGATTATAGAGCTCAGTCTACTTTCCTTACAACTGTAACCCCGTGATACGACTGCGAAATATTGTACCACGATACTTGTAACAACCGCTGACGATTCCAGAACAGACCCCAAAGGGGTGGGTTGGATTGGGGCACGGCCATGGTTAACCACCATACAATTAAAAAACAACAACAGCAAACAAACAAACAAGGAAGAAACAACCAAAAACAGTACATGACCTGGAATAACTTTGCGGCACGGGTTAGCAACCTTGCATCTTATATTAAGCGACAATAACAACATTCCTTTGCACTTTAAATCACATATTAATCACAATTAATACATCACAGGGACTCTCAGAAAACTCTACCAACCTTGTATCGTCATCAGCTGACAAGCCTTCAAATGACATTTCATCAATCTACAACAAAAAAAAAGAATAGATTTGAACAAAGAGGGAAATGGGAAGGAAGACAAGTGTTACAGAGAGGCCCGCGATGGATGAACGGGCAAGTGAAAAAATACCTCTTGGGGCACTACAACTATAGTTTCAGGACGTAACAGCCTTTTACTTCGTTAATTTTGTTACATTGAAGACAAAAATGCTTTCCAAAATGATGCAGTTTGTTTTATCTCGTACAACGAGAAGCAGTCCGTTGATGCACTATTAGTCACATTTGCGAGAAACACAACATTACTACGCCATAAAGCATTTAAGATTCAGTTCTGTAACACCCACACTTTCACATCACAACGCTGTCGCCACCAGAGCAGCTGTTGTAGGGTTTTTTTTTTTATCTCAACCGTTTCAGCGCTCGAGGTCTGCCAATCCAGAAGTTTGCAGTAAGAGCATACCTGATCTCGGACTTTGCGAGCATACAAATCCATGTCAAAGTTCTCAAGAAGTTTGAAATCATCTTCAGTAAACAAGGTGTTTCCAAACAGTGGACCAAAAACCTGAAGGCAAAAAGATTTCCGGCTGGGGTCAAGGAAGTAGAAACTTACAAGAAGACGAGAAGATATAGTTATACGATCATGCATGTTGCAGTCATTTCCTAATTGCCTGTCTGCCTATGTGTCTGTCTCACTGTCTGTCTATCTGCCTGCCTGCCTGATTGTCTGTCTGTTTGTCTGTCTGTCTTGTCTGCCTGTCTGTCCGTCTGTCTGCCTGTCTGTCCCTGTCTTTCTGTCTATCTGACTGATTGACTGACTGACTGTCTGTCCGTCTCTCTGTCTATTTGCCTTTTTTATCATGCCAGTGGTCCAGTGACTTTCTCGGTCGGCTTATGATGAGTTTGCAGTCAGCACAAAAATGGAAGCAATCCACATTCTCTTTATTATAACGGATTCAAATCTTTAGAAGATTCGTCACTTTTAAAAGAAATACGCAGGAGCTTATCATATAATAAATGAAAAAACCTGTGTGACATTCAAAAGTCAAGTGGTCAAATAGGCAGACAAAAGTGATCCTGTATATCTTCGTATATCTTCGAGATGTGTCAGAGTCCATTATAATGTGCAGACCAAGCTCCCTTTTTATAGTTAACAAAAATATGAAAAATCCCCCCCCCCCCCCCCCCCC